TTGCATATCACTTGCCCATATGCTTGCATGGAAACATTTTGTAGGGATTTCAAGCTTTGAAGGCATTCAAGGTTCAACACAATGGCAAGTGCTTCAATCTCTTCCATTGCTATCGGGTCATCAAGGACGAGGAGAAGTTTAAGACACAATATGCCGCACTCAAGTCGCGTGGGGGAAGAAAGCCGTGGAGGATGTTGGGGAGGTCGAGCCGGCACGGCCGCAGGGGAAGACCAACTCCAAAAGGAGGACAAGCGAGACGCGGCCATCAACGCCTTGATCGCAAGCGTGGACGGCATGATGAATAAGAAGGACTCAAGGGAGGAGGAGCGCCGACCTTTCAAGGCAGAGCAAATGGACGCTTTCATGGAGATCCAAAGAAGGAGGCTTGAGCTGGACGCCGACAAGCAAGCCAAGATGTTTCAGCTAGAGGCGGAGAAGCAAGACAAAATGCTAGAGATCGAGGCCGCCAACGCCAAGACCAAGGCGAAAGAAGTGGCTCTCGCGAGCATGATGACCGGGGTAAAGATCATGAAGATGGATCTCAACGCCGTGTCGCCAAGGAAGAGGCCGTGGTTCGAGAAGATGCAGACCGACATGCTCAAGTTCGACGACGAGTGATCTATGATGACGAGCGCCATCTTTTTTGTATGTCGGCATGACCACGACGTGGTCGAACTTAAGTCTCACCCCCTTTTTTGTGTGCTCGCATGTGTACCGGCCAGCTGGCGAGTGCGCCAGCATGAACTGTGGCGATATTTTCTGAAGCCGGCATTGTATGCCGGTGCTGGCATGATGCCGGCATGAGACATGACCGTTGGAATAATCGGTCGCGGGCGTTTAAAAAAAGTTGAATGCGGACATAAAATGAGTCGACGCGTTGGGCGCAATGCCGACCCAAATACAAAATTGAGCGGACGCCGGATGGACGGTCGACCCAAACAAAAAAAAGACAAATACGTTATCCATTTGGGTCAGTCCATTGAAGTTACTCTAAAATAAGACCATCTAATCAATCATTTTAGATGCCCTTAGCCAAAGAGAAAGCGCGCGCGCAATCACACAGCCGCAAATCATTTTAGATGCCCTTAGACTGATTATAATGGGGAGTATCATATACTAGTATCATGCATATGATACTAGTCTGTAATACTACATCTTTAATGCATAGTATCATATGTTAGTATCATATAACACCATTTATTGCCATGCATGACATAAAAGTAGCACATAATTTAATGTGATACGGTATCATGATATGATACTCAAGCCTCTCTTTCTTCATTTAATTTTATGTCACTTTATCAAAATTGCTTAGTTGATATGCATGATACTAACTACAGTATGATACTTTCATTACGGGGTAGCAGCTAGAGAGAAAGCGCGCGCGCAATCACACAGCCGCAAAACCCAATGACGAGGGGTAGCTGTTGGAGCGAGACGCGCGGGAGCGGGGAGTCCAAGTGCAACGAAAAAGAGCCATGCACGCACGCACATCTCCTTGGTCGAACCGAGCCTCTCGTGACCGCGCGCTCCTCGTTTCCCCCTTTTTTTTCATGCAACGCACGGAACGTCGGTACGTACTACGTACTTACCCGCTTTGCTTGGCCTGGAGCGGCTGGGCAGGTCTGTGGATATCGGGCATAATTGGTTTGCTATCAACATTTGGCATTGACAATATTTGGCAAGCCGATATTTGGCAAAATTCAAAGTTGCCAACATTTGACAATGTTTTGTGAGAGTGACGGCGAAAATTGGCAAGCAACCAATCTCTAGCCAACATTTCGCAATTGCCATAATTTGGCATGCCAACTTTTGACATCAAATCAATTATGCTCATCGTCGCGCACAGTGCGGCGGCATGCGGTACAGTCACACCACAGTACCCGTGATTGATCGTTTTCTTTGCTCTGACTCTGAAGAAATTTCATTTTGGTTTCTGCAAATCTTTGTTTTTGTCGTCAAGGACATGCTCACTCCACTACTTGTTTAAGATACAAAGAGAGAAATGGTCATATACGTACTCTTGGCTCTTGGCCGATACAACTGTCTTTCTACTTGAACCGGCATTTGTTTCTGATCTGCTGTACGTGGGGGATCGCTGGCAGTTATTATTACAAACAACGTTGTGTGTGTGTGTGTGTGTGTGTGTGTGTGTGTGTGTGTGTGTTGACAATTTTGAGTGCCAGTTCAACGACCAGCGCCGCCATTTCCGTAATTGATTGCAAGTTGCGACCATGCATGGATGGTGTTCTCTCGCAAATTCAATAATTGATTTTGTGGAAGCAGGGTTAGTACCACTCCACTATCATTATTCATTACTCTCTTTTTTGCAAGTGCATTATTCATTACTCGTGGCCGAGAAAATCCGAGCAAGTCAATCTGCTAACTATATGCACAAATCATGTGCAACTGTCTTAGGCCTTGGTCGAAGAAGGCGTAGACGGCGGTCCACGTCGTTTCCCCCTTGGGGGTGATGCCTTGGAGGTCCGATCTCTCGTCAGTTGGTGGTGGCTCCCGCGGCTTTCTTAGCTTCACCGTTGGCTTGGCGAGTGTGCAGTCTCGGGACTAGAGTGAAGGTCGGACGGTGACTCCATAAATCTCCTAAGTGTGGTGTTGGCTTTGGTCGCTTGGGCGGCAATGCCATCAGTTATGATGGTTCGCGGCCTCGAGGCCGGTGTTAAAGTCAGAGCGGCGACTTCGGAGACCTACATGAGGGTGTTGCTTTGGTCGGTAGGGCGATAGAGACATCCATTTGGCTGGTGCGCAGCCTTGGGGTCGGTGTGGACGTCGGAGCGGCGGCTCCAGGAACCGGGTGTTGGGTGGTAGGGTGTCATATATTGTCACCAAGGTGGTGATGTCGTAGACTCGGTTGGTGCGCAGCCTCGGGGCGGGTGTGTGGCTTGTCACAAATATATTGGTTTTCGGTCGGTTTTCCTTGTAAACCGGCAATTCTCCTTTTCTTAATGAGAGAACCGCGCGCTAGCTCAGTGGTAATGACGCTGTCTTGCGATTCCAGGGCAGCCGGGTTTGATTCCCTCAGGGTCGAATATTTCAACCGTGTTTCTCGTCTTTCTATAAAAATATGCCCGAGGGTGCTCGCCCCTCTGGTCTCGTTCGTTTTCTCCTTTTCTTAATGAAAAGGTAGAGTTTCTACCAGCGTCTCGAAAAAAAAACTGTCTTAGGCCATGAGTTGTTATTTCTTTTTCATGCATTCTAAAAATAGCGCAATCGACTAGTTATATTTTCTTCATAACTAATGAATATTAGCCATTTTGAGTGCCTGCAACGTGTTTCCCTGTGTCGGCATCGTCAAACATTATTTCTCTTTCTAAAACAAGGCAAAAGCCACACACAACACGTCTTGCTTCGTACCCGTTAGCCCCGGGGGACACAAGGGTGCTTAGCTAGGGTTTCCCCTGCTTCTTGCTGGCGCCGCTAATGGCCCGCCTCATCTCTTTTAGTCCTAGAACCATGGAAGCACAATGGATCCCGATCCTTGTCGTGAGACACAAGGGCGCCCAGCTAGGGTTTCCCCTGTTTTTTTAATTTTGTTAGGTTTGTGACATGCTTAGAAAGACGAGGCGGCGGTGACTTCCTGAAGATCGAATAAGCTTCTTCCTGGCTACCCTGTCGCGGTGGTGCTGCTAGCATTATCCGAGGGCATGTGGAGGTGTGTCTCCGGCAGATCTCATAGGATTCGCTCGACATTTTGTCTTCGGTGGATCCGATCTTCGTTCGTCCATGTCCATGTGTCTGCAGGTTGGACTTTTCTGATCTACACTTCTCTTCATCGGTGGAGGTTGTTGTTGTGGTGCGTTTGTCCTATGGGAACTTAGCACAATGACTTTTCTGACTGTCTACTACACCAGAGTTTATCCGGCTCCGATAAGGAAGGGGCGATGACGTTGGCGCGCATTCGGCTCGCTCCAGTGCTTGTAGTTGGCGTTAGGTGGTCTACGGACCTGAATGCTTTTTTTTTTACTTTTGATGTTTTTGTACCACCTTAATACAGTAGTTGATAAACAGATCGTAAGTTTTCTTGAGAAAAAAAAACAACGCAAAAGCTTTGCCAAAGAATTTATGTACAAGAAAGAGGACAAGTAACCAGCCTGCGATTTTCAACAGTTTGGAGAGAGAAAAATATAGAAGCAATGGCACCACTGCAAGTTGAGACCATGCATGCATAAATAACGGGCCTATCTCGACAATGGCGGCAATTAGCGTTATTCTTCCTTCTGATTGTGTTGTCGCGGAGCTTGAATGTTTTAGGGCGTAGCGTGACGGTGTATTCAGTTGTTTCAATGTTCTCTTCTGGTAGCATAGTCTTATGAGATCTGGTTATTCTGGGATCGGTGTTGTATGAGGGCTACTTCACCATCTTATATCGTTGGGCCGTATACTTTGTTCGAGTGTTGCTTTGTATGTAAGGCGGGGCGAAAGTCACTTTCGGTAATCCTTGAAATTATGATTTGCGCGTATCGCAAACACTAGTACTAGCTAGCTTGCTGCTACTACTATTACTCGTGGATAAGAAAATTCGAGCAGGTTGATGAGGTAGCTGCCACCTTCCCAAGCTACATTAAGATCTCGGTCACGGGTCACGAGCATGAGACGTTGAGGCCCTGTATAGCTCAGCACTAGCTGAACCAAGTAACCGTTAGCTAATCGTAGCCATATGAATGTTGAGAGATGTACAGCTTCCAAGTGATCTCTCTCGCCTTCTTAATTATGAATGTCACGAGCAGAGACTAGCTACCGACTCGCCCTCTCCACACGTATCCGCGCCGCTCCGTGAGCGGCGAGGTGGATGCATGCGTACCCTACCCCTCGACGGTATATAAAGCTCGGCTCCTCCTTCTCATTGATATTCAACTCACACTTGCAACCGATCAGAGTTCACTAGCTGCTAGCTGCTAGACGTCAGCTGCTTTGATAATCAGCCAGAGCTTTCCAGTTAGTTTGTGGTTGGCTTCTTGCATCGAGGGTAGCTAGATCGATCGATGGCGCCTAATGGTGACGCGGCGGTGGCGGCGGCGGAGGCGGTGCCGATTGGGCGGCCGAGGCAGCAGCAGAAGCCGCGGAGGATCTCGATGGAGGGGCTCCAGCGCGCCATGTCCGACCTGGCCCTGGAATTCACCAAGAAGGCGGCCGTGCTGGACGCGGCGGCCAGGCTGCCGGCGGTGTCGGAGCAGGTGGACGACGCGCGCTGCGAGTGCTGCGGCATGACGGAGGAGTGCTCGGCCGAGTACGTGCGGCGCGTGCGGGAGCGGTACTGCGGGCGGTGGGTGTGCGGGCTCTGCGCGGCGGCGGTGACCGACGAGGCGGACAGGAGCCGGAGCACCACGGAGGAGGCGCTGGCCGCGCACATCGCCGTGTGCGGGCGGTTCAACCGGCTGGGGCGCGCCAACCCGGTGCTCATGCAGACGGAGGCCATGAGGGAGATCTTCAGGAAGAGGGGCAAGTCCAACAGTCCCAGGGACGGCGCGAATGCCGGTGGCCTCGCCAGGAGCTCCAGCTGCATGTCGGCCATCACCAAGGACCTCAACTGTACCATTAAAAAATAGTCAGGGAGTGTCCGACGTCTTTTCCGGCTGGCTGGGCAGGCCAACGCAAGAGGATCGTGAAAACTACGTATATCTCATAAAGCTATGTATGTACATACAGCTCAAGCTCAGTGTGGAATCATCAGTGGTATATGCTGTATGATATTCGGAAGTAAGGTTTAGCTAAACAAAGAAAAAGAAAAATTCAGGTACTATTGGTAAAGGGCTCGTTGAGAACGAAGGAAATTTGTCCACCTGTAAAGCCTTTCGGGCTTGTTTTTGTTTTTGGTTTATACAGGGTAATAACATATGTGTATGTGTGTCAGATTGAACCTGTTGAAGTATATACAGTTTGTGAGGCTTGGTTCAGAAGGAGAAAAAAGAATCAGATATTAGTAAGAGACTGTTTCAGAACGAAGGAAGTTTACATGCTTTATCGTTGAAGTTTTTTCCTTTTGCCCTCTACGATCCGTTTGCTCTCTAACATGTACTCCCTCCGTTTCATAATGTAAAACATTTTTTTAACACTAGTGTAGTATGAAAAATTGTCTTACATTATGAGACGGAGGGAGTATGTATAAAATTTATCTTTTCAAGGCAACAAGTGTATATACTCCCTCTTTCATAATGTAGTGCATATAGATTTCTTGAAAAGTTAATCTCAGTAAACTTTGACCAAGTTTATAGAGAAAATTGTTTACATCTAGAATATCAAACATGTACAGTATGAAAATATATCCCATGCATGATGTATATGATGATATGCATTTGATATTCTAAATGTAGATAGTTTTCTCTATAAACACCATTAAACTTTGCAAAGTTTGACTATTGAAAAAAAATGTCAGCACTACACTATAAAACAAAGAGAGTATTATATATGCTTATGGAATTTTTTATGTGAATCTTGGTAGAATGTTTCACCAATAATTTCATCTCCATTGTGCTATGGCGTGCTCCAGTGCCACGGAGGTCAAACTATTGTTGGTCATAATTTTTTAAGTATGTTGTTAATTTTTTACTTTTATAAGGATTTATTTGTCCATCCTAAAATCACGTCTGTCAAGATTGATGACATTGAACATAATAAAGTATCTATATCAATATAAAAAGACCCAAAGGGATAGATCCAATTAATCTCGGCCATCAAATCATGTCAATCCGACGACCTAGACTGCTTCAATGTCGAGCGCTCAACACGTTTAGTGTGCATTTAATTTTATGCCAAATATAGTGCTAATCACATAATAACACGCAAATAATATCCTACTTAATATTTGCATGCATTTAATATACTTCCAAATTAACATGCATTGCACATACACATTAACTAGTCTCAACAAGATAGAGAATTTCCCACCTCTCCTTTTTGTTTGGATGAGATAAAAGGAGGCTTTCTGAGATGAAACGTAAGGCCATGTACAATGGTGCTATCTTAGAGGTGCCACATAGGATACATCTTGACGTGGAGGAGAGATGAATAATAGAAAAGGCTTGCCTTCTCTTATTTAAGAGATGATCTCTTAGTACAAGATGTCTCACTGCGTTTTTAGGAACCCACTGTAGGCATGCTTTTTATTATCATATCAAAATTACATGCAAGGCCTAAGATAAGACTAGCATATCAACCATTATACATTCCCTTAACAAAGTTATTGGTAAATAGGGTCACCACCATAATTTTATCTGATATTCTGGGGAGATATTAAAAATCTAACTGAACTGTTTTGATGGTTTTCATGAAGGGAAAATTTGATAATGAGAGACCTATTTTCCCCAATCTCCCTGCCATCCCATGTGAGATGGGGGACCATCTAAAGTTTCCTTCGCGCCACACACAATTGTCATATGTAATGCGCTCCAAAAGGCGGCCCCAAGTAGTCAAATATGGAGGCTAGGAGACCAAATATGAAGGACGCTCCCTAAATTTTGATGACATGGCATGGAATGACGACTCCACTTTAGTGTGTTTTTGGGGAGCAGTCGTCATATTTGCAGTTAGTATGGCGTCCGGGCCATTATGATGACTCGGCTAGAGTTCTCTTAGCGCTTTTAGCTGGAAGATGATGTCTACCACTCAAACAACTCTCATAAGATATATAAAATATGAAAGGGGTTATATGTATTACTTCAAGAAACAACTTAATTAAAAAAATAAGATTTGCTTAAAATTTATTATAAATGCCATATGATAAAGTTAAATGGACCTTTTGTATTTACATTCTGCAATGAAACTTTTAGGAATTGTTTGGTGTGAGTGGATAATTGGAGTAGTGGGGGGAGGGAAAGTGCCATTAAATTGATTGATATTGTGGGCCCTTACTTAATTTTAAGCTAGATCATTTGTAAATTGTTTGACCTCATTGCTATTGGGCTAGCCTTGCTTATCAAGAAAGCACACAATCAAAACATTGTGAAGGGATAGTTCCTCATCTTGTTGAAGATGTCCTATCAGTCCTTCAGTATGAAGATGGTACCCTTTTTTTGCTGTGAGATGATTTAAAAAATACTAGAAAAAATAATGTTTATTTTCTATGTTTTGGAGTAAATCCGAGGCTTGAAAATAACTTCCACAGAAGTGACATACAACCCCCGCAAAAAAGAATGCATACAGAGATATTTTCACATGCACTGTTGAACGTGGATGTTGTACATGCACATGCGGGTACATGAGTTATCATAATCACAATCTGAGACACGTGCTTAAAAATTTAGAGATTTTTTTATTTTCCATTATGCCACGTGGGTTGCATAGAAAAGTCAAATCAACATGTACCTCACCCATCTATGTAGATGTAGCCTTTCCGCACTAGCTTTGCTCATGTTGCTCGAGTTGTCGTCTCGCTCCTCACGCACAACAAAAGCTTTCATCCATTTTGAAAGTGCATCTAATCCTCGGATGGTTTTGATGATTAAAAACAATATATATCACATTGAACTAATGCCTATTCAAAATATTGACCATGTATTAGAAAAATGCTAAACATGTATTAGAAAAATGTTCTTGACATATACAAAAAATATAGAAAGAAAACCAAAAAAACTGAAAACCGAGGAAGAAACAAAATAAAAAAAATTAAATTTGAAAAAACAAATGCAAAAAGTATGGGAAATAGTGAAAATCAATAAAGAAACAAAGAATAACTAAAAAATAGAAAACCTAGGAAGAAAGAAAAAACCGAAGGGTAAAAAGAAAATGAGTTAGAAATGAAAAACCGATGAAAACAATGAAAGAACAAAGAAAAACCAATAGAAAAATGAACGAAAAAATAAGGAAGAAATAAGAAAACCAAACCAAAAAGAAAAGAAAAGAAAAAACCCGATGAAAACAGAATAAAAATGATGCAAAAAGAAAGAAAAAACCAGTAAAAATAGGGAAACTGAGGAAAACCAGTTGAAACAGGGCTCGTTTCGCCTCACCTATATCGCGCTCTACTACTTCAACATGTACCCGATGCGAGCCTGGTCGCTAGCACCATTGCCAACTATCCAGGTGACCAGGTATCGAATCCCCCTACATGCCCCCTTTTTCTTTACTTATTTCTTTTAAGTATTCACAAGTGGGATGACTCATTACTATAGACGCCTCACGCAAGAGATCCTTCCGTCTCGCATGAAGCGAGATATAGGGCGAGTTTGGTTGGCACCCTACATGCCCCCTTTTTCTTTACTTATTTCTTTTAAGTATTCACAAGTGGGATGACTCATTACTATAGAAGCCTCACGACAAGAGATCCTTTCGTCTCGCATGAAGCGAGATATAGGGCGAGTTTGGTTGGCACCCTACATGCCCCCTTTTTCTTTACTTATTTCTTTTAAGTATTCACAAGTGGGATGACTCATTACTATAGACGCCTCACGCAAGAGATCCTTCCGTCTCGCATGAAGCGAGATATAGGGCGAGTTTGGTTGGCACCCTAGCCATGTCGTGCCTGGCCACAAGTTTCCCTGGAACCTGCCTGGCATCCGTTTGGATTGCGTCCGTTTGGATTGCGTCCTCAACAATTGGACGAGTGCCTGGCCGGAGCAAGCCTGGAATCATCATTAGCCTGGGGTTAACTTTGGCACCATCGTTAGCCTGGGCCAGGCTATCTCTTTCGGATGCCTGGTGCATGCCTGGTTGTGGAGCTAAATCCTATTTGGCGCCTTAAGCGTCCGATATAGCTATTCCCGCAAACGGGCGCACACCCCCCTTTCTTCGTTCGCTATTAATGGGCTGGCCCACCTCCGCTTCGTTCTTAGATGTTTTTACACGCAAAAAAGGGCGGGCGCGCGACCGAGAATCGAACCATCCACCTCCAGCATCGAGTGAGGCAACAATAACCACCACAACACCTAGCTCTTTGTGATCAGTTGCATCCTTTATTTCCTTTCTTCCTTTGCCCTTCCCTTTTCCCTGTTTCCTAATTTTCTTTTTTCAAATTCGAGTTTCTTTTTTCTTTTCTACAAAATGGATGAACTTTTTTTTTCAAATTCAATGAACTTTTTACATATTCGATGATTTTTTCTCAAATTCGATGAACTTTTTCCAATATCCATGAATTCTTTTTTGAATTTGATGAACTTTTTCTGAATTGCATGAATTTTTTTCGAATTTGATGAAAATTTTCCAAATTCCATGAACTTTTTGTGAACTCGATGAACTGTTTTTTCAAATTTGATGAACTTTTTTTGAATTGAATGAATTTTTTTCGAATTCAATGAGCTTTTTTGAAAACTGATGAACTTTTTTACAAGTTTGATGAACTTTTTTCAAATCCGGTGAACTTTTTTACAAGTTTGATGAACCTTTTTCAAATCCGGTGAACTTTTTTTCGAATTTATGAACTTTTTTCAAAGTCGATGAACTGTTTTCAAAACCCATGAACTGGTTTCCAAATTCGCTGAACTTATTTCATATCCAATGAACTTTTTCAAATCCGATGAACTTGTTTTTCAAATTTTGTGAACTTTTATGAAAATTCTTGTCCATTTTTAATTCATGGTTTTTTTTTGATTTTTTTTCCTTACAACGAGGCTTT